TATGCCTACATCTGAGCAGGGTGGGAGGGCGGGCGCTGTAACACCAGAGCTGGGGTGCTTAGGGGTGCAGTGTCCTCCCTTAGCTGGGAACCGCTGTCTGGTGCGGGTGTTACTAACACTCAGCTCTCTTGCAGAGACTGGCTGCTCAGCCTCAACCTCTCCTTCTTCCTTAGGATGTAGTGCCATTACACCTGCTCTGAAGAGAGTCTTTCTAGTCTGGGGGAGACTTCTTGTGATCCTTTACCTGTGTGGTGATCATACTTCTTCCTGCAGCCTTCCTACCTTTCACAGTGAAGGGGAAGGAGTGTTTTCACTCTTACTTCCCTGTGTGCCGGGGCTCTTCTCTAAGTCAGGCTTGCACATCTTGCAAGTGTGAATTCCTAAAGCAGCCCTGCATGGGGGGAAGTAAATTTCCTAATCTATAAACACTTTTTAAGTCTAGAGTTACAGATACTTTAATGACTCTGTATTAAAAAAAAAAAAAATCAACCATGAATGTTTGTTACTTTTTGAAATGCACTTTAATACAGGAGTGTTGATCCCTTTAGCTGCCTGTTCACTGTTGTGTGTATGTTGTGTTGACCTTCATTCTTGCCTGCTGCACAGAAGACTGCAACAAACAACAAACACCAGTGATGTTCTCTCAGGTCGGCTGTGGGCCATTCCTCTCTCTGTGGTGCATGGCTAAGCTGTATCTGGAATCAAGTAACTTGGGGGGGAGAAGAGGGTGGAGGCTCATCCTCTTGCTGCCTGGGGAAGGCTGGTTTTTGCCTTTGCTCTCGCGCAGGTCTCCAGAACTGGCACCTGTTCATGTCCTCAGGGCAGGTACAACACTGCATTTAGCAGAGGCTGCGTCACCACCCTCTGCTCACTACGGCTGTATTTGTAGCACTTCTGCTATGTCCATTCACTGCCAGAGGGAAGGCCTGTCTTTACGAGCAACTCCTCACTAGCCAGTTTTTTCCTAGTGAGGGGAAAAATAAATATATGGTAAAGGAAAACAGCGCTTAACTGTGGACTATAAAATCTCTTTCCCCTTGTGCCAAGGAAAGCTGTTGCCCTGCTGAAAACAATGTAACTCCAGGAAAGCAAGTTTCTACTCTGCATCAGTCCAGTCTCTGACAGGGAACCAGTCCTATTTCTTGGCATAGTTGTTCCTGTTTTGAGGTAATGACCCTGTAATCCTACATTAACCAAGTAGCTATATTTAATAACACTGAATAAACATGAAACAGAGCCTGTGACCTGCTTCCCCTTTATTTCAATTAATTTGTCGCAATCATCCCCCAAGAACAAAGCCAGCTCCTATATACAGACATGAAGTGCACTCATTGTGCTCAGTATCTTGCTGCTGCACTTAAAGTTTCTGTAAGTGTGGCCAGAATCAGCTACGTGGTCCTGCAGGAACCAGAGGGAGCAGATGACCAGGAATCCTCCAGCATCTGAACAGAAAGGGGAAACTTTTTTTTTTTTTTTTCCTAATCTAAAATGTGGTATTTCCCCAGTCTGAGGCTCAATCTTGCATTGGTCTCCCTGGGCTGCAATCTTCACAAATGCTGCACCTCTCTCTGGGGCAGTCGGGGTGGGCCGTGTCTCACCTACAACTCCTCCCCAAGATGTGCATTGTACAGAGGTGAAGCAGTTGAGGGTTTTAGTCTGTCCCTCCACTCACTTCCAGTTTATTAGTGCAGGCTCCTCCTCAGGATGGGGCTGTGGATGTAGCTGCCCTTGGGAGAAGGAGGAGCCTTTCCCTGAGAAACCCTGAGTGTTCTGCCTGCTGGAGGAGGGCCTGAGCCCCCTTTTAGCAGGAATTTCCTGCTAGAGCAAGAACAGGATGGAAGGTGCAGTTCAGAGGCACCTGTGACCATCTCTCAACTTAAAAGATGACCACAGCTGAGCATTGGCATCTTCCCACCACCACGCGTGCACAACACGCTGCAGCTCTGGTTTTTGGTGCTGTACCAACAGCAGGGCTGCTGGGGTTGTGCACAACCAGGGGAGGTTTTTGCTCTGCTGTAAACTGATAGCAGAGGGGCTTTAATCCAATGCTAGCATGCCTGACAGGCTGCAGGAGTGCTGGCCTCCAGGATCCTGGCAGCAGGATCAGGCCTGCAAGCAAAGCCTCTCGGTGTAGGTACACAGGCCTCCAGGAGCTCTTGGTCCTGGGGAGGGTATATGGGAAGGGTGCAGTCCTATTGACAGCTCCTTATTCTAAGCCAAGCTGATTATAGCAAAGGAAAGAAGGTAGCCAGGTCTCATCCTTGAGGCCAACGCCATCACACATGGCATGGCAGGGCAAGGGTCACCACCCTAGAAGACAGTAAAGCATCCAAGGCCTTTCTACAGGCATAGTTCAAACAGCTCCTGCAGCAGTTGCTGGTACTCAGCTCAAAGCACTGAAGTGCTCAAAGTGACAGACTCCAACAGTGGCTGGACTCTGCTTATATGGCATCTTCCACAGGAGGATCTCGGGGATCTCAAAGGGCTCTGCAGTCACCGAGGAATCATGCCCTGAACACCCTTAGGAAGTGGGTAACAAGAATTCCTGCTTTATGCAGGCCAAGTAGACATCATCAAGCTGATACCAGAGGAACAGTCACACGCCAGCGAAAGGCACTTGTGCAGTAAAGAGCCATGTGCTCCAGGGTCTTGCGGCTCAACCTGGTACTGACCCCTACTCCCATCCAAGGAGCCTCATCACAGGAGGACTGGGCGGAAACCCTCGCTGGCGGCTTGCTGTCTGACAACCTGCAGGGGCTGTGCCCGGAGCGCCGTAGGGTAGAGATACCACATCACCACCCCCGAGGGGTTAATAACGACTGAGAAGCTGTCGCTTGTCTTCAAGCCACTGATGATCTTCCCACTGTACACATCTTGGACCTGGAAGAGAGACATGGTGGCTACCAGCATTTCCACAGACCTTTCATCTTGAGGTCCAGCTGTAGTCACTGACATGGCATAACAGGAAAGGGCACAGCAACGGACAACAGGAGGGGAACGAATAGGCAGCTGCCCCTCCATCCTGGAGGCAGGGAGTGGGAGTCCTTCCCCCACAAAACACACAGAGTGCCAATGGGAAGATGGAAAGGGGGATCCGTGTGCTGTGGGGCTGCTCCATCATGCAGCATGCCAGTGGGGCTCACCTCATAGATGGCATCCTCGGGGAAGTGGAGCTTGGCCAGGCTGGTGGTGTAGTGGAAAGGCATATCCGTCCTCCGGCTGAAGAAGACGAGGGCGCTGGCGGCCTGGGACAGTGGGCGCAGGAACACCTCAATGTGGTATTTCTCCTGGTGGGGAGATGGGTGGGTGAAGCAGAGCTGCTGGGACCAGTGCTGGTCCATAACTTCTGACCTTGCCCTGTGAGGCTGCTGCACCAGCATGTACCCACCTCCCACAGCTCTCCTGCTCATGTTTCTCTGTATCGCCTCCCTCTCCCTCCCTCGTGACCTGTGCTGCTCCTGTCTGCTCTCCCAGACGCGCCCGCCTTCCCCCTAACCTTGACAATCCTGCGCCCCTGGATTCCCAGGGGGTCCTGGTTGATCTGGATCATCAGGGGGTTCTGCAGGATCTCTTTGGCACTCGGGGAGATAGCACGGAGATCCGTGGACATGAGGAGTGGAGCTGCCATCACCGTCCACAAGGCCATTTGGGAGCGGGACTGCTCGTAGCTAAGGCCAAAGTTTCCAATTATGAGCTGGAGGAGAAAGGATGAAAAGACAGGAGAGGCAGAAAAGGGTTAGAAACTTGTCTGCTTGCCACACTTGGTGATGCTGCAGCCTGCTGGGAGGGAGCACACGTGGGAAACCTCACATGCACTTTTACTTCCCCTTAAGCAGCCTACCACTACTGGGAGATCCCACCCCTGCTAGGTGCTGAGCCGTCAACCCACATTCAAACACACTCACTAACACCCTTCGCTTCACCACTATCCCCTCTCCGGCTGTGCAGGGAAGGACAGGGACACCTGGACAACTCAACAGGTACACTTGAGTGATGAAGGGTTTGTTGCAGCCACAAGCTTTTCCCATAGCTTAGCCAAGGGCAACACAAGCTTTGCCTCTCTGCAGCAAGACAGCTCCTGTTCCTGGCACTCTTCCTTCACCCTGCCCCTAGGAAGGGGATCCCTGGAGATCCCCCATCCCGAGCCAAGGTCAGTGCACCCACCACCCAGCCATACCATGTCCGGGTCATTCCAGTGGCCGGGGCCAGCTGCTGGCTGCAGGATGTCCTGGTTTTCAGAGAACCAGTCCAGGATGGAAAGCACACTGTCCCAGGAGTCCTGGATATCAACGTAGTTACGCCACAGGTTGCAGACGTCTGCCAGGATGGTGTAGTTCACCTGGAGAAGAGCACAGGGTTAGGCAGGAGGGAGAAAGGACCCAGTCTGCAAGCTGGGGAAGAAGGGACAGACAGACTTGTTAAGAGCTGCAGCATCCAGAAGATGTTTAGTGTCTACAAAGCACAGGGATGTGTAGAAGGGCAACATCAAGTAATGAAGGAGGACAGAGCCATATCCCAATATAACTGGGCACATCCCAGTGTGATAGCATGTCTGGCAAACCAACCACAGAGACCATGGAGAAATACAATCAGCTGTCAGAATGAGGGCAGAATCACAGAATGT